AAAAAAAAAGTTCAATTCCCTAGTAAAATATAACAAGTCTAAATCAATGGGCTTAGATCCTGATTTTTAAAGTTTAAAAAGGAGTAGCAGAATAAATGCAAAAATTTAGGAAGGGAAGTTCAAAATTAGAAGTAAAAATTAATTAATAGAAAACAAACATCAAATATGAAGGTTCAATAAAGCTAAAAGCTGGTTCTTTGAAGACTAAAAGATGGTAAGCCTCTGACAAGATTTAAACAATAAACAAGCTTGGTCTGATGTTTATTAAAAAGATAAAAGATAAAAGATTCCATTCAACATGAAAACAGACCTCAAACTAGGCTATAAAGCAAGTCTCAATAATCCAAACATATTAGGATTATCTAGACCATGATCTCTCATCAAATTGAAATTAAGTTAAAATAATAAACACAGATACAATAAAAATTCTGTGCTTCAAAATTTTTTTAAATTTCAGGGATCAAAGAAGAAATCATAAGGAGAACTAGAAAATATTTGAAATATAACAACAAAAAATACTACACATTTAGAAGGGGAGCTGCAAATAAAGCAATTCTTAGAGGGGAATTCAAGTGAGTGTGTGTGTTTTGGAATTAAAGTTTAAGTGCCTACTCAGTTGGTTGGAGCTTCATCCATACACAAAAATTTTGTGGATTCAATTCCCAGTCAGGGCACATACCTAGGTTATGGGTTCAATCCCCAGTTGGATTGCATAAGGGAGGCAGCCAATTGATGCTTCTCTCTCACATCGATGTTTCTCTCCCTTCCTCTCTCTCTCTAAAATAAATAAAAACATATCCTTGGGTGAGGATTTAAAAGGAGAGAAAATGTCAAGTTCCAGCTCTAGTCAGGTTTTCTAAGTGGTGAGAGTGTCAGTCCACAGACTGAAGGTTCAATTTCAGTCAAGGGCACGTACTCGGTTGCAGGCTCAATTCCCACTCCTGTAGAGGCACATGCCGGACGCAACCAATCTGTGTCTCACTCACATGGAGATTTCTCCCTCTCCCTTTCACTCTCTCTAAAAACCAGTGGAAAAAATATCCTCTAGCCCGACTGGTGTGGCTTAGTGGTTGAGTGTCAACCTATGAACTGTGAGGTCAGTGTTCAATTCAGGTCAGGGCATGTGCCCTGGTTGCAGGCTCCATCCCCAGTAGCGGGCATGCAGGAGGAAGCTGATCAATGATTCTGTCTCATCACTGAAGTAACCCTTCCTCACTGAGATCAATAAAAATATTAAATACATATATGTATATATATTTTTAAATAATATCCTTGGAGGAAGATTAACATCTCTGAAATGAGGATGTATCTTATAAGCTATAGCATCTTAGAATTATACTTGGCATCAACTTTTCTTTCTCAGTGGTACATAAAATAAGGGTGTACATAAACAAGGGTGTACATAAACATTTAAGAAATATGGCTACCTCTTAAACTATATAGTGGAAATATGGGTGTGCAGTTTATTTTTAATCACTATTTAGTACTTATATCTTACAGTTATATTATAAACTAGAGTCCCGGTGCATGAGGGGTCATCCCTCAGTCTGGCCTACACCCTCTTCAATCCGGGACCCCTTGGGGGATGTCCAACTGCAATACAGGACCTCTGACTCCTAACCGCTCAGCTGCTTGCCTGCCTGATCATCCCTAACCACTCTGCATGCCTGCCTGATGCCCCTAACCTCTCTGCCTGTCTGCCTGATCACCCCTAACTGCTTGCTGGGGAGCAGGGCCAGCCCTGCAAGGGGCCATCTGCCTACCTGATTGCCCCTAACTGCTGGCCTGCCTACCTGATCACCCCTAACTGCTGGCCTGCCTACCTGATCACCCCTAACTGCTGGCCTGCCTACCTGATCACCCCTAACTGCTGGCCTGCCTACCTGATCACCCCTAACTGCTGGCCTGCCTACCTGATCACCCCTAACTGCTGGCCTGCCTACCTGATCACCCCTAACTGCTGGCCTGCCTACCTGATCACCCCTAACTGCTGGCCTGCCTACCTGATCACCCCTAACTGCTGGCCTGCCTACCTGATCACCCCTAACTGCTGGCCTGCCTACCTGATCACCCCTAACTGCTGGCCTGCCTACCTGATCACCCCTAACCACTTGCTGGCAGGCCAGGGCCAGCCCGGGGAGGGGCCGTGGTGGTTCTGGTCTAACAGTTGTTATGGTCGTGATGCCATTGCATTCTCTGGCCTTTTGTTATATAGGATATTCTTTATTATATATTCAATGTATAATAAAATTGAGTTAAAATAGATTATAATCATGCCCTGGCTAGTATGGCTCAATTGGTTGAGCTTCATTCCATGCACCAAAATGTCACCAGTTTGATTCTCAGTTAGGGCACATGCCTGGGTTATGGGCTCAAACCCCAGTAGGGGGTGTGCAGGAGGCAGGCTATCGATGTGTCTCTCTCACATTGATGTTTCTCTTTCATTCTCTCTCTCTCTGCCTCTCCCTCCATCCCTTCATTTCCCTCCCCCCCCCTCTATCTCTCTGTCTCTCTCTCTCTCAAATCAATAAAAACACATTTTTAAAAATAGATTATAATCATGGGTCAGGTTAACATAGCAGGCAGAGATAATAGAGACAAAATTAGGACTATAAACCTAGATGGTCATGGTATGTAAAGATAAAGGGGGTAGGGTGAGGAATAGGATCTTAGATTTCAGGATAGAGATAGAGATAGGACTAGAAAGCCTTAGGAACCAGGATATTATGAATAAGGGAGAGTATGAAAATTTGGAAGAGTCTGATTCTCAAGTCAAGTAGGATAAGAATTGGAAAGGACAAGGATGGAAGGTAGGGTTGAAGCTCTAGAGCAGTGCTATCCAGTAGAACTTTCTATGACAATGGAAATTTCTGTATCTTTACCATCCAGCAAGGTAGCCACTAGACACCGAATAATGTGGTTATTGAATATTTGGAATGTGTCTAGTATGACTGAGGCACAGAATTTTTTTTTAATATATTTTATTGATTTTTCACAGAGAGGAAGGGAGAGAGATAGAGAGTTAGAAACATCGATGAGAGAGAAACATCGATCAGCGAGGCACAGAATTTTTAATGTTACTTCATTTTAATTAATTAAAGTTAAATAGCACATGTAGTTAGTGATTGCCGTTTTGAACAGCGCAGCTCTAGAGCAAGGCTCCTGAATCCAGATGTCTAGTATGACTGAGGCACGGAATTTTTAATGTTACTTCATTTTAATTAATTAAAGTTAAATAGCACATGTAGTTAGTGATTGCCGTTTTGAACAGCGCAGCTCTAGAGCAAGGCTCCTGAATCCAGACCGAGGGCAGGGAGAGGGGCACCAGTTCCAGGACACTCACCAGCCACTATGAACAGAAGGATACCAAAGCCCAGGACATAGTAAGGCCACTGCATGGAGAACTGGGGCGGGCGGGGCTGCATCCTCAGACTGAATCTCCAGGGCGTGCAGCAGCAAGGCCAGGAAAGCACAAGCCCCTGCAGGGTCACAGGGAAGTCCGTTTAATCTCCTCCTGCGGTTCTGCCTTCACTCCAGCCTTCCCTCAGACTTAATTAGACAGAGCCATGTGGCTCCTGCACGGAGGCTCCTTTCTCTTGCTGGCACACCTTGCCCTCTCAGAGCCAATAACTTCCACCCCACATACCTGTCTTGCCCTCTTTCCCAACTCATCTCAAAGCCCATGTGCCTCACCTCCCTAATCAGAAATCCTTTTCCTGGGTGCCCTCCGTGCTCATGACCTCAGCTGACTCAGCCTGGGCCCTCTGGGTGTGATGCTTTGGATGAAACTCAACCTGATTCTCCCACCATAAGCCTTCCAGCCCCTTCATCTCATGGCAGGGGAAGGCCTTGGTCAAACTTTTAATGTCAGAGGTTCCAAAGGACAGAGATAGTCCCTTCCATTCATTCATCTAAGAAACATTTATATTTTATTTATATCATATATTTCAATTACATTAGAATTCTATTCTAGACTCTAGGCCAGTCACTGGGATAGAGATTATGGTAAAAGGCCACCAGACAAATGACCCCAATCAATGTGGCAAGGACTATGCTAGCTGGAAGTATGAAGAACTGAAAAGCCCCAAAGAAAGGGGTCATAAATACTGAGGGGGCAGGTATGAGGGTGGGCTACTTCATAGAGAAGCCCACAAAAGAGAGGGGCCTTCAAATCCTCTCTCCTAACATCGCAGAGACCACTCCCCTCCCCCTTAACTCCCCCACCTGCCTTTGGAGCCCTCCCCAGACCCTCCTCATGGCCTGCCTGCCTGCTCCACACCTGTGAAGAAGCTGATGGAGGCTGATAAAAAAGTTTGCTTCCAGGTCCTTGGAAAGAGCTGAGATGCAAAAGACACCATGGTGAGGGTGGTGAGGAAAGACAAGACTACTGCAAACAGCAGGAAAACTCGGCCGAGGATGATGTAAACTGCAGGGGAGGGAGAGTGGGCAAGTGCTGGGCACCCTGACCCCAAAGGGCAGAGCCCACGAAGCCCCCCAGATCCTTGGCAGGAATGGCCCCTGGAGTTCCCCAATATGTGGTCTGGGACCAAGGTTCTGACCCTGCCACTTTGGCCCCAAGAATGCTCTGGCCCCATTTTGTTCCCCATGACATGGAAGTAAACAAACAAGAAAATTTAGATGGAAAAATGGTGGTTTTTAAAAACAACATAAAATATCCCGGCCAGGGTGGTTCAGTGGTTGAGCATCAACCCATGAACCAAGAGGTTACTGGTTCGATTCCCAGTCAAGGCACATACCCGGGCTGTGAGCTTGATCCCCAGAAGGGGCATGCAGAAGGCAGCTGATCGATGTTTCTCTCTCATTGATGTTTCTATCTCTCTATCCCACTCCCTTCCTAAAGTCATTTTAAAAAAAACAAACATATTAAAATAAAACCCTGGTGATAAAATTTGTTACACAAGGAAACATGAGGAATCACATCTGTATTGGTCAAACTGTACAAGTCACTGGTGGAAAGTCAAGATGTTCTGAACGCTGCAGGAAACCCCTATAATTATCCCGGTTAATAGAAGTAATGAAACAGACCCGAAAGAGCAGAGCCAGAGTCTTAAAGACAGGGTGTCTTATTCTCCTACTGTTGGCATGATTCAGACCCATGTTCAAATGAGTTTGTATCCATTCCTGAGCATGCAGAAATGGCCAGCTGGAGGTAGAACAAAGAGACAAAGGTATTGTTGAAGACCCAGAGTTCTAGAATCTACCCTTGGGTTAAAACAGTGCTTCTAAACCAGAGACAATTTCCACGCCGCCGCCCCCCCCTCCCCCATGGGAGATATTTGGCAATGCCAAGAAGTAATTTTGTTTGCCACAACTAATGCAGGGAGGGTTCTACTGGTATTATGTGGGTAGAAGAGGGGCAGGGGTGTTATTAACCCGTAAGAAACAGGGGAGCCCCCACATCAAAGATTACCCAACCACAAATGTCAGTAGTGCCAAGGTTGAGGAACCCTGGATCAAAGAGCTCACACAGTCTGGCCTTTCTTCCCCAAAGTGGCTCTTCTTTCCTAAAACCAGGAGATAATTCCTAGGTCTCCCAGAGTCGCCTCTTTTCCAAGACAGACACCATCATGAATTTTCCAAGTTCCTTATAAAACATTGTCTCAAGTGCCTCCTTGATAATGTGGTACCCAGGCCTGAGCACAGTATCTGCAGAGCTGCCACCCAGAGATGGACAGGTGTCTGGCCAAGGGCACAAGTGGAGGCTTTGCTCACCAGGCTGCTCCCCCGACTAGGAGTGGTGCCTAAAGGGTGCTGCCTGGATGGGCCAATGGCAGCCTGAGAGGTGGGAGAGCCTCACAGAGGAGGGTAGGATCCCGCCCCCCTTATCACATGTTGGGCCACTCTTTTCCCCAGAAATAAACTTTGTTGCTCCTGACACATTGGCTCCTGACTCTGGTGTCAGCCTGGCATTATTAACCCCCTCCCAGCCGCCTACTCTCCTTTAACCCCAAAGGAGTGGAGACTCAGAGAAAAATGCCCTTATTATTAAAGCCTGTCGTCTGCCACCCCCAGTTCCTGCAACGGCCCCATCTCTCCCCAGTCCCTGCCTCCATCCCTCCTTACTGGATAAGGGTCGAGGCTTCCAGCACTTGATATGAAAGCAGTTCTCAAACAGGCCACTGTAAAACACTTCACGGGACTCCTCATTCACAAGGCGCACCCAGAAGGGGAAGATGGTGACCAGCAGTATGAGCAGGTAGCCCGAAGCAGTCAAGGCGGGGGCTATGGCCCATGTGAAGCCCTTTATGTTTTTGTCCTCTAAAGTCAGTATCACCTGTGTAAGGGAAAAGTGAGGGCAAGAGGTGGGCGCACATACTCCCAATACTCATGTGGTACAAGGAGATAGCATCTAAGGAAATGCTAGCACATATGTGAGGCTCAGTGAATGCTGATTTCTTTGCCTCAATAAACTTAACAGTCTTACAGACCTCTTCAGTGAACCTAAAATAACATAGACCCTTTCTGCCACTGACTCACTAGATGATGACCTTAGGCATGTAGGGTCCCCTTTTCCACCTCTGTAAAATGAGGAGGGACAGTCTTACAGACCTCTTCAGTGGACCTAAAATAACATAGACCCTTTCTGCCACTGACTCAGTGGATGACCTTAGGCGTGTAGGGTCCCCTTTTCCACCTCTGTAAAATGAGGAGGTTGGACTACGCTGTCCGCAATCTCTCCTAGCTCTAAAGTTCTAACCATTCAATTGTTATTACCCACAGAAGAACCTCTCCAACGCCCTCTTCAGTCAGCTGTTTGCCTTTTGAGATTTCAGAATGAGGACCAGGGGGAGGTAAGACCAGGTCTGAAGTGCCCTTACTCAGTGACTGGCCCTTTTGCTTCAGGACACTGGGTTTAGATGGGAAGGGGTCCACCTGGCCAGGAGGAGCCACCTGCAGAAAAATGAGCAGATCATATGCACAGAGCAAGTTTTGCAAATAGTTTAAAAGTCTCAGAGACCTTCCTGAAGCCCCAGGTATCCTCTAGGCCTGGAGGTCAGGCCCTTAGTTAAGGATCCCTCCTATCTTCTCCTTGACCATCACCTGTCATTAAAGATGCCTTCTTTTGCCCTGCTGGTGTGGCTCCATGATTGAGCGTCATCGACCTATGAACCAGGAAGTCATAGTTAGATTCCCAGTCAGGGTACATGCCAGGGTTTCAGGCTCCATCCCCAGTGTGAGGTGTGCAAGTGGCAGATGATCAATGATTCTCTCTCATCGTTAATGTTTCTATCTCTCTCTCCCTTTCTCTCTGAAATCAATAGAAAATATTTTTTTAAAAAAAGATGCCTTCTTTTGAATGAGATGTAGACGATAAGAACTGGCTGGACTTGGCTTTAGAAGCCCTCGACTGTCATCCCTGCTCTATCACTTGCTATCTGTGTAACTTCGTGAAGCTTGCTGAAACTCTCGGGAGTTTGGGTCTCCCATTTGGAAGAGGGAGGATATAATGCCCAGTGGGTCACTGGGAGGGCCAAATGAAATACTGCGTACTGAAGGGTCAAGCACAGTGCTGGGACTCAAGTGCTTGGTTAAAGGGGAAGGGGATGGGCTTCTCCTAAAATTCAAATATTCCTGTTGAAAAAGGGGCTAGTGGCCATTCACAGTCTAAGGGAAAATGTATTCAACTAGTCTGCGTTCTTCTCTGCCTTTGCCAAGCCTGGCAACCCTGAGGAATGAGTTTTCCCCAAGGTGGAGAGGAACATGGGGAGGAAGGAGAGGAGTTGAGTAGGAGCTCGTGGTGCTGCAGGGAGGGCAGGCCTGGTCAGAATGTATCCAGATAGCACTGTGATGACCCTGCCCACTTGGTAGTGCAGAAGGGAGGCATCAGGAGGTGAGAGAGACACATGACAAGGGAGATGAGGGGCACCCTAAGACAACAGAACAGCTCTTCTTTCCAAGTCATGCCCATAGCCAGGCCTAGAGACTCCTGTATAAGCCAGGCAGTGCTTGGCAGCACCAAGGATTCAAGCTGTGCATGATGGCTACTGAAGACAGGGTCCTCGGAGTGAAGGTGCTGCTCTTACCTCTCTGCATCCTGTGCAAGCACCCTTGCTCATGCCCACGCATCAGGGCCTCTCCATGGTCCTCAATACAGACACCCCTCACTGCAGCTGGGACCAGGAGTGTCTTTGAGGCTTTGAGAACTGTTGATCACTATAGAAAACAAGTCTAGCCCTGACCAGTTTGGCTCAGTGGATAGAGTGTCGGCCTGAGGACTGAAGGATCCCAGGTTTGATTCTGGTCAAGGGCATGTACCTTGGTTGAGGGCACATCCCCAATAGGGGGTGTGCAGGAGGCAGCTGATCGATGTTTCTCTCTCATTGATGTTTCTAACTCTCTATCCCTCTCCCTTCCTCTCTGTAAAAAAAAATCAAAAAAATGTATTTTTTTTTAAAAGAAAAAAAGTCTAAAGGCAGAGGACAGAGGTGTGGGTGCCTTCCCACCCAACTATGCTGTTTATAAATGTTTAATGCTTTGGAAACATTCTAACGGGCTTTCTCCTCCTTTCTGTCACTTACCAGTTTCTCTTCTCCCCACCTGAAAAATTGGATCCTTCCTTCTCTCCAAAGCTACCCTTTTGATCTCCCCTCCACCCTCCAGGTCTACTGATGAGTCGCCTGAACCTCAGGGCCTCAGTTCCCTTTGCTTTACAATTATGAAATAGGTGGAACCAGAGTGTGCTGAGTCCCAGCTATAAAAGTCTCCAGGTAGGAGTCATGGCTACATATTGACCCCCATGTTCTGGATGGGATGGAGTACCCTGGACATTTTCATCTGATGGTCTGTACCCCTTCCTGTCTATTCCCAAAAACCTCAACTTGTCTAAAACTGACCTGAGCACTGTCCCTATTTCAGTCATCCTCTCCATCACCCACACTATAGCCAGGAGCTCATGCTGGCTTCTCCCTTTCTCTCATGCTCCCAGCTCATCAGCCTTCCTTGTCTTCTCAGTTTTCACAAAATTTCCCAACCATGCACCCTTCCTGGCCCCACACCCCTGTGTCTCCCTCTAGTCCTGGAACACCTCCCCCCCAAGCATCTGCAGCTTCCATGCCTGGGGTCCTTCCCTGAGGGTGCCCTCTCTACTCCTCCAGACCTTCTCAATCCCACCTCTCCTGCAAAGCTCAGCTTGATCCTGTCTGTCCACTCCATGTAGACCTCCCAGCTACCAACCATTATCCATTCCGTCCACAAAAATTAACTGTGCACTTACTGGACGCCCCATGCCCATTTTAGGTCAATGGGAACAATACAGGAGGGGGTAGGGAGGAGGCCAGGAATTTGCAGGCTCTTGGTAACTACTGCAGAGAGAAACAAATAAACACATTATATTGACACAGTACTTTCCTCTCCCCAGCCTGGGGTTACCACAGGCCACCCAGTGTTCCACCTCCTGTCTGCACTCCCCACCCCATGCAACCCCTCTTCTACCCCCAACCTTGCTCTCCAGTGAGGTGGGCCTTGTTCGCCTTTCTCTGAGGATAGGCCAGGGTTCTGCGTGCCTGTGAACAGCCCTTAGTGCTGAGATTGGACAAATATGCAATTTTGGAAATGCACTGATATAGGCCAGACTCGACCACCGACATTTTAATATAGAGGGGATTTGTAGAGCCCTTTGTACTGGTGAAGAAACAGAGAGCAGGGGAGCAGGCTCCACTGGCCCAGGATCCCACAAAAAGTCTGTGAGGACCAGGGACCAGAAAAACACCTAGCTGCCTCTCCCACTTCACCAGCCCCTACTGGCCAGCAGTTCAGTTCAGTGATTTACAAATGTGAAATTTAATGGAACCCGAGATTTTCTCTAATAGCTATGTTCGTGTGCATGTGTGAGAAAGGGAGAGAGAATAGCAGAAGGATGGCCATTTTTTATTTTGTAAGGGCATACAAAAAAAAAACAAAACCTGTCATCTACTATCATTGACTGTTTTAATTATTTTAAAAGGACCTCAGGCCCTAGCCAGATTGGCTCAGTGAATTGAGCATCAGCCTGCAGACTGAAGGGTCCCAGGTTGATTCCAGTCAAGGGCACATGCCCTGGTTGTGGGCTCGATGCCCGGTAGGGGGCGTGCAGGAGGCAGCCAAATGATTCTCTCTCATCATTGATGTTTCTATTTCTCTCTCCCTCTCCCTTCCTCTCAGAAATCAATAAAAATATATTTAAAAAATAAATAAAAGGACCTCAGACACTGGAAGCAGAAAAGCTTCGTACTCCTCCGTGAGGCCAGGAACAGCATCTGAGAACCACGGGCTTGGAGAGAGGATCCTCAATCCGGGCTCCCTCTGGGAGTCTCCCTGAAACAGCCTGAGTGCAGCCCGGTCACCTCCCCAGGCCCTGTGCACCCCCAGAGACACCTGGAAACTGCTGGGGGGTAAAGAGGTGGGCGCATAAAGGAAACCTGGGTTGGAAGAGGGAAGAGACCAGGTGGGAACCGTCTGGACCTTGGAGAGGAAGGCCTTTCCTCCCGCTGTCAACCTTCCTCTGCCCAGACCTTCCGTGACCCCAAAGTCAGTGACATTTTCCAGACCCAAAGATGGGCCCCAACCAGGCCATCTACCCCCAGACACCACCCTGTGGGTCTCAACAGCTCAACGGGTTATGTTTAGCCCTGGGGAGCAGAGGGTGTCTTCTGCGTGTCTGCCCCCTCCCCACCCGTGAAGCTACTTCCACTCACCCTCCACCGGTTCCCCTTCCTCTTCTGGGCCACCGTCGGGGTCTCCCTGTCTCGGGGCTGGGCTTCCCTCCTTCCCTCCAGGGGGCCCCAGAGCAGTGGGACCAACCCCCGCCCCGCCTCCCCACCCCCACGCTCGTCTGCCCCTTGGGCTGGAGGTCCAGGCTTCCGTTGGCCCCCAGGCCCGCGCAGGTAAGCTTGGTCTCCGGGCAGACTTACTCCTCTCAGATCCCCAGAATAGACCTAATACTGTACTACCTAAGTAGAGGTACTTTGGGACTTCTTTTAATGTTTAAAATATTCATGGTAAATAAGGGCTCAAACTTTTTTTCCCTTTTATTTTATCAATCAATTAGATATCACACTACTCATTGCTTTGCAAACCTTTTCCTTGATAATTACATGATGTTGAAGCTTTACCTTAGGTTATAATGGAATTTTTGTTAAAGAAGTTTGAACAGTAGCTTTTTTCTAATAGGAAATCTTGAAAATTACTATTGTCTTTAAAAAAAAACAGCTGTAAGTTCACTATTTTTTCCATCCAAATATGAAAGAAATATGTATTTCTCATAAGGATAGTAAGTATGTGTGTCGCTAGGATTCAGTCAGAGAAGCAGAGCCAGGAAGATACACACACACCTGGCTCATCTGCTGATTTGAGGCAAATGAGGTGAGTCAGCAGATCAGCAATGAGTTTGAGTTACAAAATAACTGCTGATTTTCTTCTGGCCTCCGAATCTCCCACGTCTGTATCCCATATGAACTGAAGCATACAAAAAAAGGAATTCTGGAAAATGCAGTTTAAGCTACCCAAGCTGACACATAACAAAGTCATGACACGTCATACTGAGAAATTATTTGGCTTAGAAAACCTGCACATTTATTTTATTTTATTTTTATTTTTTTATTGATTTCAGAGAGGAAGGGAGAAGGAGAGAGAGAGAAACATCAATGATGAGAGAGAATCATTGATTGGCTTCCTCCATGCCCCCTACTGGGGATCTAGCCTGCAACCCAACCTGGGCAAGTGCCCTTAACGGGAATTGAATATGGGACCCTTCAGTCCACGGGCTGATACTCTATCCACTGAGCCAAACTAGCTGGGGCAACCTGCACATTTATTAAGTGTATTTGTGTCACATTAAACAAAGAGGTTCAGTAGTCTGCAGGACATTGAGGAGTGATATATTGTCTCAAGAAAACCCAAAGCCATTTCTATCTACAGTTACAACAAACAGGACAGATGAGATACAAGAAAAGCTATTGGGTTCAAGCATCACATATCACTTTCCTGATCTAGGAGTCTGAATCCCAAACTCCCTGATTCTTTCTTCCCTGGAATAGTCCTAACTCATTCCATTTTCAGCAGATGACTAGAGATTTGAAAAGCAAACTGTGGAACCTGCCTCTAATGGAGATCCTCAGATCAAATGAAAGTAGTACTAAGGTTCCACTTTAATCATCAGCTTTAGTGCTGCATTGTGCCCCTTTTGTGCCCTTCTCTGACACACAGCTAGGTGTTTTCCCATATCCATCATTCCTCCAAAGTGAACCTGCTGAATAAGGCAGGAACTGAATTTAAAGGTTTTCATACACTAAACACAACTATGAGATCTGTCCACTATGTGGACTTGCAGGTCTTAATATAAATAAAAGCTGAACTAGGACTGAAGGCTGTCCACACCCACTACACCCCAGGGTGAGTTCTCCGATGTTCAATGGAGCTGAACTCCAACCAAAGGTGATACCACCTTCATTTCATTCACAGTTTCTCACTTGTATGAATTTCCAGATGATCAATAAGGTATGAATTATGCTTGAAGGTTTTCCCACATTCTTTAAATTCAGAGGTTTGACCCACTCTGAGTCTTCTGATGCTGAATGAGGTGAGAGTTTCCACATTCACTACATTCATAGGGTCTCTCTCCAGTGTGAATTCTGTGATATTTAATAAGGCATCAACTTCTACTAAAAGATTTCCCACACTCGTTATAATTGTAAGGAGTCTCCCCAGTATGGACTCTCTGATGTTCAATAAGGTGTGACTTATGACTGTACGTTTTCCCACAGTTATTGCATTCATATGGTCTCTCTTTGGTATGAACTTGCTGATGTTCTATTAGATTTGAGCTCTGACTAAAGGCCTTACCACATTCAGTATATTAATAGGGTATTTCCCTAGTATAGATTCTCTGATGTCAAATAAGACTTGAACTCCAACCAAAAACTTTTCCACATTCATTACACACATAAGACATCTCACCTGTTTGAATTATCTGATGCTGGATAAGGTGTGAGCTGCTCTGGAGGGTTTTCCCACACCCACTACATTATAGGGTTTCTCTTCAACATGTATTCTCTTTGATGTTGAATAAGGTTTGAACTAT